AAAAAAAGCTGGAAATAACCCTACATCAATCTCATATTTAAGAGACAGAATTATACTCAATTAATTTTAATTAAATTGCTCCATTAGCTTGATTTTTCTTGACACTGTGAAATCTGACCTCATGTATTCTACAGAGGAGTACCAAGAGCCTCCATGATAACAAACTGCTTCACTTAAGCTTTATCACTGATGACATTTAATGATCTGGAAAGGATAAGGACAGCATTTCTCCCATTTCAGTTTGCTGATACCTGTATGCTGAAAGCTCTCAATTTCTGGTGATATGGGGAGTACATTTAGAGAAGGTCATAATCCTTGAAGAGGACTACATTAATTCTTGAAGTTTGGGAACTAGAACTAAACATAACTATATTTTATTGTCTGTTTTAGAAGCACAAACAACTTATTTAAGTTGAATATCAATTGACCAAATGTCAAACCAAACAAGAAAATTAGGTTTACTTAATAAGGAATTTAAAAAGTTTATTCCAATACTGCCATACAATTTTTCACTCCAGGCTATATTCTTTTTTATTTTCTAGATTTGTCTTAAATGAATTCTCATGTATTGGGGTGCCTGTCTAGTTAACAAAACTTTATGAATATATACAGCGTAGGCAAAAATAAGAAGTATGCATTAAGTAGGACATATGGAGGACCTCTCAGAGTCTATGTTGCTGTGGATATTTATTTGTTCTTAGATTGTAAATGAACAGAAAATAGTACATGTAGTCATTGTCTGTTACTGAAAAACAAAGTGTACCTTCTAATAATAAGTAAAACAAATATTTCAGAGAAGGGATTAAACAATCTAAATTCATGATCTTAAAATAGACCATAAAATCATAGAATAGAAAATTTTAATACAGATTTTCTATCTATAAATATCAATTTTTGATTGCTACAACACTCTTAAATTTTTTGTTATGGGACTCGTGAAAGTATAATTACAAAAAAAATTCTGTTGACACACTTCTGCTTTTACTCAATGCTGTATCCATTGTAATGATTACGAAATCCTTGAAGGTCAAATAGTATTAAAAACCCAAAATAAGAGAGAATTCTGGGAAGACAGTGGAGTAGGAAGCACCAATGTTAAGTCTACTCACCCAGACAATAATTACACAAACAAAAATCTGTCCCATGTAACTTATTTAGAATTCTGGAGTATACCGAAGGCTTATATCTTCTAGGGGAAGGCTTTAGTGATAAACTGCAGTGGATTTTGGTCAATATCACTTCTTAACTTGACAGCAGCCACCCATCACACTAACAAACCCTATGGCAGGCAACTGTGCACACGTTCCCAGAGCAGTTTTCATACAACTCATGGAAAACAGGGCAAGCAGTAACGTGGTAAGGACACTGTTCTCTAACATTGGGCTGCAAGTTCAAATCATTAATTGCTGTTTTCGATCGTGGAGGTGCAAACACAGACGCAGGCAGCTATTGTTGCTGCATCTCCCTCTTATTGTTCCAAGTTACATCTCTTTGGCAGAAGGAATTTTCAGAACATATAAAGCTCAGGTGAGTTTTTTAATCTTATTTTTTTTTCTTTTTCCTTGTTTTGTGAGCTAAAGACTAAAACATTCACAGCAACTGAAAATATGGGAAAATTAGAAAAGTATCAGAGATGCCCAGGGAAAGATGCAGACTCAGGAAAGATCTGAAAAGATCCTTAAGCTTACACATCAACCTAATCCTTGGCATAGAGACAGCCTACAGCATTCTAAGCAAAACAAATGAAATCAAAATAAAAAGAGCAAATCCAGGTGAAGGGGTCAAATATGAGTTCCAAATTTACAGTATTGTTGGATTAAAATAAGCAACTTTCAAAACAAAAATCACGAGGCATGCAGAGAAAGAGTAAACTGTGTTCCATTCAATGGAAGAAAATAAACCAACAGAAATTGTTCTCGACAAAGTCCTCATGGTAGATCTACTAGACAATGACTTTAAAACAACTGTTTTCAAGATACTCAAAGAACTAAAGGAAGGCACAGGGAAAGTAAGAAATATACACATATAAACAAAATGAAAATATAAATAAAGAATACTTTAAAATTAACTAAAAGTAAAGTCTGGAGCTGGGAATTATAATAACTAAATAAAAAATTCATTATTGTTTGAAAGGTAGTTTTGAATAGAGGGAAAAAGAATCAATGCATTTGAATATAGGCTAATGGAATTTATTGAATCTGAGGGAGGGAAATAAAAAATGATTGAAGAAAGTGAAAACTAAAGGTATAAAACACAATCATGAAGACCAATTAACACATTATGGTAGTCTCTGAAGGAGAAGAAAATGAAAGAGGCAAAGGGAATATTTAAAGAAATAGCTTCTGAAAATTTCCAATATTTGATGAAAGACAAGAATATAAACATTGAAACAACTTTAAAGAACTCCAGGCTGGGCACGGTGGCTCACACCTATAATCACAGCACTTTGGGAGGCCAAGGTGAGTGGATCATGAGGTCAGGAGATCCAGACCAACCTGACCAACATGATGAAACAACTTCTCTACTAAAAATACAAAAAAAAAAAAAAAATTAGCCAGGCGTTGTGGTGCACACCTGTGGTCCCAGATACTTGGGAGGCTGAGGCAGGAGAATCACTTGAACCTGAAAGGCGGAGGTTGCAGTGAGCCGAGATCTTGCCACTGCACTCCAACCTGGGCGACAGAGCAAGACTCTGTCTCAAAAAAGAAAAAAGAACTCCAAATATTGTGATCTCAAAGAAACCTACACTGAGACACATTTTAATCAAACTGTGGAAAGCCAAGGCCAAAGAAAGCATCTTGGAATTATAAATAGAAAAGCAATTCATAATATGCAATCTCAGTAAGATTATCAGTAGATTTCTCATCAAAACTTTGGAGTCTAGAAGGCAAGGGACTATCGTACTTAAAGAACTATAAGCACAACAACAACAACAATAAACCTGTCAACCAAGAATCCTGTATCTGGTAAAACTGCCTTTCAAAATGTAGGGAGAAATTGAAGCATTCTAAAATAAGCAAAAGCTGAGTTTATTACCACTAGATCTGCCCTGAAAGAAATGCTAAAAAAAAGTCCTGCAGTTTACATTGAAAGGATGCTAGATAGTAACTCAAGGGTATGTGAGGAGATAGAGACTGCAGTAAAAATAAATACGCAGAAAATTTAATGTTAGTATTAAGTTTGGTTTATAACTACCCATATTGTTTTCCACATAATTTAAGGGACTAATGTATTAGTATAAATTATTACTTGAAATTTTTGGACAGATAATATATAAACTATACTTTTGTTACATCAACAACTTAACAACTGAATGGGGTGGAAACTAAGCTGTCAAGAAGCAGCGGATTTTTTTATGTTATTGAAGTTAAGATGGCTTAATTTCAAATTAGAGTGTTACAACTTGAGGATGTTAAATGTAATTCCCATGGTAACCACACAAAAAAGTTACAGAATACCCAGAAAAGGAAATATGAAGGGAATTCAAATATTTTTTCCACAAAAATCAATTTAACATTGCAGAAAATAAGAAACAAAAAAAATGTATAATCCCTGTTGAAAAAAATAGCAAAATGACAGAAGTCTTTCCTTATCAGTAATTACTTTAAACATAAGTAGATTAAACTATGAAATTTAAAAAAAGACTGGCAGAATAGATTTGTAAAAGTATCCAACAATACGCTGTTTACTAAAGACTCACTTTGGATCCAAAGAAAGAAATAGGTTGAAAATGACAGATTTAAAAATGATATTCCATACAAATAGTAACCAAATGAGAACAGGGGTAACTATACTAAAATCAGAAAATATGGACATTAAATTAAAAAATTTATAAGTGACAAAGAAGGACATTATTTTTTAATAACAGAATCAGCACTGCATGAAGATACGTAAACATTGATCTACCTAATAACCAACATCAAAATATATAAAGCAAATATTAACAGAATGTAAGGGAGAATTCAAAAATAGTTTCAGCCGTACAAAAGGAGTTAGAATTTAAAGATTCTAAAAACACTTGGGATTTTTTAAAACAAAGATCTCAAATCAATAGCCTCTCCATACAACTTAAGGACCTATAATAAGACAAACAGACATAACTCAGAGGTAGAAGGAAGGAAGGAAATAAGAAAGATTAGAGCAAAGATAAGTAAAATGGAAAATGTTATTCTATCCTAAAAAGACCAAATATTCTGACTTGTGCAACAATATGAATGAATCTTGATGACATTATATGAAGTGAAATACACAAATCACAACAGGACAAATAATGCATGATTCTGCTTATATGAGGTACCCAAACTAGCCAAAATTATAATGTCAGAAAGAAGACTGTGTGTGGAGACAGGAGAATAGAGATTTAGTTTAATGGGATAGAGTTTCAGTTTTCCAAGATGAAAAGAGTTCTGCATATAGATGGAAGTGATGGTTGCATAACATTAGTGTGTTTAATACTACTGAACTGTATACTTTAAAATGGTTAAGATTTATGCTATGTGTATTTACCACAATAAAAATAAATTGGAAACAAAATAAATAAACCTGTTGAAAATAATCAAACAAAAAAGACATGTTTGTGAAATTGATGCTTCCAAAAAAGACAAAATATTAGGCAACAACTTTGCCTATATACTAGACAACTGATTTGAGCAATTTTGTGATAATTCACTTACAGTATATGCATATTCCTACCAAAAGAATGACCCTAAAACACAAAAGATGTTTCATGAATTTCCCAGTTACCTCCTTTTAGTATTTAAAGTATATTAAACTTTTAAAACAATATTATTGCTAACCTTTTATAATTTCTTGTGACCTTCATCTATTTATATAGCTAATATAAACACTAAAGCCCATTTTATTTTCCCAATGTTTATTAATGACCTAATCCTTATGAGCAAAGATGATGCTATTAGTAAATATTATGGTTAATTTGCTTGGAGCTACTTGAAATTACTTACTCTTGTCATTTTATATTTTTGTCCATCAAGAAGCTGTTGTTTTTTTTTTTTTTTTTTTTTTTTTTTGGAATATCAAGTCGCTTCACTAGTATAAAGTCTGAGTAGTTGGGCTTTTTATGTGGGTAGTGGTCTGAAGACATAGGCTCTAGCCTCTAGCATATTAATAGCATGATGATAATCTCACTATATTTGACTTATTTGGATTGATCACTTTTAATGAGCTCAAAAGCACAGTATCATTATTTAGCAAATTTAAAATAGCAAGGAACTTCTTGTTAGTAGTTTTGACTTCACAATAAGAGGATATTTTCAAATTTCAGAATTTTGTATTTAAATAAACTGATAAATTACATAATTTATTAAACAATATAGTATACATCTTTTATAATCAGAAACTTGATATAATAAGCACTCCAGAAAATTCCAAATATTGTTCATTGATTTAAAACTATTGGGGGGAAATAGGGGAGGGACGGTGGGGGATGGGGAGCTGGGGAGAGATAGCAAGGGGAGAGATGCCAGATGTAGGTGATGGGGAGGAAGGCAGCAAATCACACTGCCACGTGTGTACCTATGCAACAATCTTGCATGGTCTTCACATGTACCGCAAAACCTAAAATGCAATAAAATAAAAAAATGGGAAAAAAAAACTATTTACAAAACCATTTTAGGAAATAACATAGAAAACCATTGATTTGGCATATATGTTCCAGATAATCCATAAATTCATATTGCCTCTACTTTTCCCAGTTTGTACACTCCTGTGTTTCATGCCATGCTTCTTGCAGCAAAAACGATTCACAATCATATCCCAATAATTCACTTCAAAGTTTCCTTTTTTGCCATTCTTTTTTCCTTGGATTTGCAAAGTAGTATCTGGAGAAGTTAGGAATACCATATAGCAGATGCAATGATTCAAAGTACTTGTTTTACTTGGATGTGATTATCATATATCCATTTTTATTAAAATATTCTATGTATGTATATGTTAAAAATACATTTCTTGAATTTTTCTTATTTTATTCAACCTCAAGTTACAAGATAACTTTTATTGTTGCTGTTGTTGTTATTTAAGTATTTGATAGTTACTGTGATCGTAAAACTCCTTTTGGTCATTTTTGGAGAGTCATCATATTAAAATTACGAAGCAGTAAATATACCCTTTATTTTACTTAGAGATCCATTAATTTCAATGCATAAGATTCAATATTTACCCCTTGTGGAAGTTTCCTTTGAAAATATGTAACAAGAAAATTGGTTGTAATAGCTCCTGTCTGATTTGGCTATCTCTTGCATTACTTAATAAATTGTGTACTTTTTTGTACATAGAAGGGAAACCTGTGAGAGGATGAGATGGGCTTAGGGCTTCACTGAGATTTACATGGCAGAATAAAATATGAAAATGCCTATCCATTATCAACTAAGAGAAAGATCAACTGTGGACATCCTCAGCTTAAAGTAACGTCAAACCCTTTTTGTTTTGTGTGAAAACAGTTACTATATAAAGAAAGAAATATGGTGCCATAGTAACTAGTATTTTTACATATTCAAAATTAAGCTCATCGATAAACCTATTAAGAATGAGAAATATGCATTTAGCCTTGGTAATGAGCTAAACATAACTACATTTAAAATGCTTACACTAACTGTATTTCCACCCTTTTACTTGACACTATAATTTATTGTGTAATTTCCATTTTATTTCAGATCAGAAATTAAACATACATATCATCAAGATAACGGAAAAATTATCTAGTTATCAATAACAATACAAGTTAAATGGCTAGTATTAAATTTAAAATATTTCAAAATTGAGTAATCAATCAGGTATGATTTGAGAATTGAAGGGGCACATATATTTGAGTATTTAATAAATCTTCCTTTTACCATTTCAAAATATTTATATACTTTTTATTGACATCAGTAAATGATCATTAAAAAATGAGGCTCATAGCTCATTATCATCCCCAAACCCACACCACAAATGACTTAATAGGAATCATTCCACACTAAAACTTACGTTAAAGCTGTTGCATTTAAAGATTTTTAAAAATGTATTGGCTACAAAATATATAGGCTCTTATAAATGTAGGGAGTTTAAAATTAGGAAAATAGAATCGTACATTAGACATAAGATTTTTGCAAATCCATTGACATTTTTAAACAGGGTGATTTTTAAATTGTTATCATTTGTCATAATTATAATTAGATATGGCTTTTACCACTTTTCAAAATTTCCTTAGAACACCTCTTTGCCAGTTTTTTAATGCTCTAACATCATCAAGAAAACGAAAAGAATTGTTTTTAAAAAAATGCTCCATTCTCCCTTTCTGCTTATGTTATTAGTAATGTGAATAATGCCTCCATACTGTTATGTTAGCTGATAATGATATGCTCTGCCTCAAGTTATTTTAAAGATTTATCTACTTGACAAAGTCCTACAACAGTGGAAATAGAAATATATTTATCTCAGAAGTTATAAATGAAAACAATTAGTAACCTCCAATAAGGTTAGCCAAAATGGCCTGATAATAGCTATTATTTCTAATAATAAAATGACTAACTTGAAGGCATAAGTTTATCTTAATGAATAAAATATTCAAATTATTTTCTTGGCACAAATGCAACAATGAAACTATCCCTTGTTTTATGCAACATATATTTTAATTTAAATCAAATTCAATGGAAGAAATACACTTTTCATAGGAAGGCAAAGAGGTTTAATTGGGTATATGCAAGGGAAAGGAATGTATTTATATATAAATATGATGTGATATAATGTTGAAGAAAAAAATAGAATAAAGGAGTAAGTGTTTATGGGCAAGTAAGGAATTACCTTCTAAAGTAGCTGGTAAACTCTTGATTGTGGCTATGGTTCCTTCTTTGTTCTGAAAGTGTCAAATCCAGAAGACTCTTCTAAGTACTACATTGACTACCAAATTTTGGTTAACCCTTGGTAAGGAACTAAGGAAACATGAAAAACCCATGGTGCAAATAAATGATACTCATGTATACGAGTATACATGTATATACATGTATATATGTATACATGAGTATCATTTATTTGCAGCACTTCTTGACTTGTTTGTGTAAACGCAGGCAAAAGAAAACTTGAACCATCTTTTGGTCATCGTTTTGGGCAATTTGTAAACTGGAACCAGCCTTTTGTAAACTGACCAAACTAAAAGACTCATAATTAATATAAGATGAATATATTAGGCATAGCATCTTGAAAAATCTATCTTTATTCTTTGTATCTTTCTATAATAATAGGTAATTACTGATTCTTAGCACATCTTTATGAGTAAAACACATCACTTTTGAAAGCTTGGCCCAACTCAGGCCTCTTCCACATAAACTTTCATGATTAGCACATAAAAAATGAATATTGCATGCATGATTTCCACACTAAGGCACCTTCGGTTTTCAGCATGAATTAGAGAAGAATGACATTTTTGTGGTATTTTCTACCATCAGAAAGAATAAGAGACTAGTTTTCATGAAAATATGCTATTGCAAAATTTGGGAAAACAGAAGAGGTGCACAGTAAATGCTGACGATCAGTGTTAGAATTGTTTATAAGGCATTTCTCTTAATACCTAATGTAAATGACGGGTGATGGATGCAGCAGTACTACCACCATGGCACATGTATACCTATGTAACAACATGATCTGCATGTGTACCCCAGAACTTACAAGTTTAACGAATTAAAAAAAAATCCAGGAAATAATAAGAGGAAAAGTTTAAAAAATTGTTTACAAAAAATCATGTGCCTCTAATGGATTTTATTGTATGTTATCTGAGGAAAGAAAGAATGCACTAACTAAAGAAAAACTGGTCTTTCTACATGCTGCTTACAGAAATGGAAATGTAAAGGTAGGGAATTCAACAGTATCAGCAAACATTTTCCAGGAGTGTTCACGAATCTGCAGAATGTGGGGTACCAGAGAGCATTGGATGTGGCACAGGAATGGATTTATTCTTTCACACTTCAATCTCAGTGGACTAATTATTCTTTTGTATAAATTCCTTGCCCCCCACCCCTTTGCCCCCAAATATTTTCTATTTTTTCATTACATTTTCTAATGTATTGATCAGGAAGAGCACATCTTAGAAAACATAAAAATATTATGGTAAATGCATAAGAATAATGCATTATGATTTTTATCATCTCATGCAACATCCTTGAAGTGAGTGCATATAAATGAAATTATCTTTGAGTACTCTCTTTGAAACATTCTTAAGTCTAGATATGAAAAATAGGAGACCAGTTTGTGTTGATTCCCCACCAAAGTCATATAAGTGCTACTACATGATGCGCTAAGCAATCAACTGAATTTCCTGTATCTTTACCTAGCATTCCCTTCTCTAATTCCTCCCTTTTAAATGCAGGTTCTCAGTGTTACTGTCTAGTATTGTTTGTAAAAAAAAAACATGTAAATGGCAATAACTAAATCAAAACTACTTTAAGATAGTGGCTTTGAAGGTACTAACACTTATTTGACTGTGTAAGATTTAAATGCTATATTATTTTATATTTAGAAGATATAATTTTTATGTCTTATACATAGCTTTAGTATTTTCTTCACACTCTATGTTCTTTATAATATAGCTATCTTTATTTCTGCATCTACACGAGATTGTAATCTATTGGGGCAGAGAGTGCTATAGAAACAACTAGAGTGCAGAAAATAACATTACAGTATTCTTTTTTTTTTTTTTTTTTTTGAACAGAGTCCTTTCTGGTGGAATTTTCTGGAAAGAAAATGCACATACACACGTACATGTATATATGTAAATGTGTGTGTTTATACATACACATACAATGAATGTGATTGTACATATATATATATAAACACACACACATTCATACATGCAAACACAATCATTGTAGTTTAAAATTAAACGTTCTAACAAAAGAAATGGTGCAAATAAGCATTCTTTTTGCTTTGAGGCTAAAATTGTGATTATTTTTGCTTCAGTTCCTTTAGCTTCCTTTCTAATGTCCCAGGGACCTGGGTGGGCTTGTGTAATGTACAGATGAAAAAGAAAACGTCTGTCCTTCTTTCTGACATCAAGACCTTTCACCAAAGAAAATTGTGAACATTAATTAATGTGATTTGCTCCGCTCATCCAAACACAAATGCTGTCTGGGCCAGACCTAATGGGGCTTCAGCTATGCCTTTTACCAGTGTGGCTAATCTAATTCCCTGTGCAATCCTTTTTTCTTGCTTCACTGTTTGCTCAGCAGACACGCTCACTTTCTCTGAACATTTCTTTCTGTAGTTACATAGAGTGTGAAGTCACATTTTAACGAGATAAAATATTTTAATAATTTAATAGAGAAATTAGAATAATTCATCACTATTGAGCTACCAGTGTAACTGAAATAAGGGTACTCTATATAAAGCTGTTTGAAATAATGAGTAAATCTACTTTGAATGGATCCTTCAGTTTATTATATTCCCATAGACATGGGTCATGATATGCCTTATAAATATATTTGATAACAATTTTGACCATAGTAAAATATATTTAAATCTGGTTTTAGTATTTCCTACTTATAAGGGCTGAAGCTCCATTTCACGTAAAAATGTGTAGAAAAGTAAATAATTACCCTAATAATTAAATGACATCACAGTCGCAATATATTAGCATAATCCATAGTCATTTGGAGATAAAACTTACAGAAATTGGATCTTACTTTTCTTTCTCCTACCACTCTATTTCACATGTCTGAACAAAGATACACATGTACAAGTTATTTCCATTTGCCACAGCATGCACAGATATTCAGATACAGATTTCAACTAATTATATTCTGAACAAAAGGACAATGCTCTGAATGACAACAAGGGAAACTCCATTACCAAAAGCTGTATTATGAAAGGGAAATGTCTAAGGAGTTTTTCAATGAAAAATAAAAACAAATTAAAATAAACTAATCCTACATAACTAGACTGAGGAAAACAAATAAAGCATCTGTTAGGGGTTTTTTCTGTTTGTTTGCTTTTTCCCCATCAGATACTGATAAAGTTAACTCTGGGATTGAAAAGACACATGCTTAATTTTAAATATTTTATTTTAAAAAACAAATCCAGTGGTATAATCTAAGCTTGTCCCATGTGAACCGAAAATAGGTATTTTTAAAACAATCTAGGAGTCTATCTGCTTGAATATTTTTATGGCACAAGTATATGCATACTTAGTATAACAGAAAAATAATGGAAAATATTAATTAGGAAAATATATTAAAATCAGCTTGTATTTCAGAAACAACAAGAATAAATGTAAGTGTAGAGGCTGACAAAATTAAAGAAAGTGACAGTTCAGACACTATGAATTTATAAATAAATAAGTACATTAAGAATCCAAGTAGGCTGGGCATGGTGGCTCACACCTGTAATCCCAACATTTTGGAAGTTGGGGGCAGGTGGATCATGAGGTCAGGAGTTTGAGACCAGCATGGCCAATATAGTGAAAACCCATCTCTACTAAAAATAAAAAAAAAAAAAATTAGCCAGTGTGGTGGTTCGTGCCCATAATCCTAGCTACTTAGGAGGCCAGACAGGAGTATTGCTTGAACTCAGAAGGCAGAGGTTGCAGTGAGTGGAGACCCTGCCGCTGCACTCCAGACTGGGAGACAGAACAAGACTCTATCTTGATAAAGAAAAAAAAAAAAAAGAATCGAAGTACATGATTCACACAGATTATGTGACAGTGTACTGATAAAACAAGTAAGTGATGTCCTGGAGCCGTCTTTTACCACTAACTTTTCAAATGCCTCTGAATAATCACTCTTTCCTCTCCAAAATATAGGTCTTAACTAAAAGAAAGCCTTTTCTTGTTATACTATTTGAAAGAAACAGTACAAGTATTAGGATACTGCAGCTCATTTCCTGACATTCATTTCATGATAGG